AGAAAGTCGTTACACAGAGCTTGCTAAATATTTGATAAAGATCAAATAGTGTTGTTTCCCTTTATTCACAATGACGTTTTAGGAGTAAAACGTTACTTACAGTAACGTATATCAACCTAACGCCGTCAGTTTTTAAAAAATGAAATATACCATAAAACGTTACTGTCAAATACATTTATACTAGTTTTGTAAAAAAATTTAAAAACGTATTATTTTGATAAATTGCTTTATATAATAACTTAGTTTGATAAAAAAATTCTATAAATTTAATCGAGATTTTAATACGAACAAAAATTGATATGCCTCACTTGTCCTGTCCCATCTTCTTTTCATTTCCATTTTTTTTCTCCTTTTCTCCTATTTTTCCTTTTAATTTGCTTTTCTCTTAGTTGGCTCCGTTAATTTCTTTGTTTTCTTTCTCTTCTTGTCTCTTGCTTCTTTTAATTTATTATTCTTCTGATTTCAATTGCAACATCTGTTTAGATATTTTTATAATAAATTTATTTGAGTGATTTTATTATATAAAGAAGTAATTTAGTAATTTTATTGATATAAAATAATATTTAATAATTTCATTAGATAATTTTTTTATTGAGCAATCTTTTGAGATATTAAATCCAACGACATCCACAATCATAAGCAAGTAGCTTAATTAAATAAAAATTGTAAGATATATACTATATTTTATAATTGCATTTTTCGATCCACAAATACAATCTTGACATACAATTAGGTGTCCTTCTCAAGGTTAACATATTATGATTTTGTATATGTATAGCAAAAAAAAATATATATATATATATATATATATATATATATTATATTTGTTATGGTACGTAATTATATAAATTATAGTTATAGCTATATCACATAAATATGATATATATATATATATATATATACACACACACAAAGAAAGCAGTTGTATAATTTGCTATACATGTACAAAAGAAAGCAGTTGAAAACATCAATTGTATAATATGTGTATGTATGAAACGAGAAAGAGAGAAAGACAAAAAGAAAACTAGGCAAGGGACTATTTGTTTTGTATAGTTATAAGTGTATAAGATGAATATATATGTATTTACATGTGTATATACAATTTTCTCTCGCTTTATACAAACATAAATACAATTTATACATTTCATTTCTGTTTGTACAAGAGAGAGAAGCGAGGATGGCGAGTGATATCTAGGAGAGAGGCGAGCGAGATTGAGAGAGGGAGGAGAGAGTCGAGCGATATTGGGAGAGGGAGGAGAGGGGCGAGCGAGAAAGGGTAGAGAGTGGGAGAGAGATGAATTATATATATGTATCAATAAGATAATTGTATATTATACATTTATAATTGTATATTCTGGCGAATCATACATATACAAACGTGGTCAATTATACAAACTCGAAATCAACCCACGTAATTAATGTATAATATTAATCGCGAGTAATAATTATAGCAAATTATAATTATGATGAATAATTAAATAGTATAAATTTGTTTATCCGCGTAATTTTCTCATAATTAATTAACATTTCAAAGAGTTTTTGGTTTCTTTAAAGAAATATAGATACAGATAGATGGCGATTGTAATACACGGTAAGATATAGACATCAAATATAGAATCCCGTGAATTACTTAAATTCTTTCTATTTTATTATTTATTATAATATAAAGATGTTTGAATTTAAAGGTATTTGGATAATTAAAATATTATCCTCAAATTTAATTGTTTTTGAATATGCATAATTTATTTATGAGAGAAGTATTGCCAACATTTCCAAATTCGGCAACAATCATTCCTAAATTATTAATAAATTGATCTTAAATACACAAAATTGATCAAATTTAAATATATTTCAAAACTTCACTCGATTTTTTAATAAAAATCTTACGCTCTTACAAGAATTTAATACTATTTACTATATCAAATACCATATCAGAATATATTTAAGTTCCGAGTTATGAAAATAAATATTTATAAATATAGAAAAGTCCAAAAACAAGGAGATGGACCAAAATCCAACCCATACTAAAAATAGAAATAAAAAAGAAATTTCGAAAGCCAAAAAAAAAGGAAATGTTTACCTTTTTGTTTTATCAAAGAAATTAATGACATCTTTTTTTTTTTGTTTTCTTTTCTCTTTTATGTTGTTTGTTTCTTTTAATTTCCTAACTTTTTCCTGTTTGTTTATCTTCTTCTTCTTTTATCTCTTTCTCTATTTTGTCTTTTTTCTCTTATTTTTTAAATAAATTTTAAAAATATCAAATAAACTTTTTAGAGGATTAAGAATATATTTGAAAAAAAAAATCTATAATAACAAATAATCAAGAAGAAATATTGAAGTTACTAGTTTATTTATTAAAATCTTAATTAATAATGAATACCATATATATATATGAGAATCATAGGGGACTGAGTTCTTTTCACTTCGAATCGCGCACTGCAAAATTCATTTAGGAGTGGCGCTCCCAACATGATTTATCTTCATACCCAAGGCTCGAACCTACACTTCAGTTTCAATTGATATATTATTTTGTCGAAAAATGACAAAGCTTTTTTTATAATACTAAAAAGAACAATAAAGAAATGAAAAAAAAAACATTGGGCATTTTATCATGCTTTGTGGCATATTCAAGAGGATGTGTTGTACATATATGTTATTCTTAAATGATATAGTGTTAGATCAACTAGATGAATGGTAAAATTAATGATATTTTGGATAGATGTTTGAAGACATACCTTAAAATCTCTAGGTTTCAAGTATCTTGGTTTTATAATCGAAGTTACATAATGGGAAGATGACAATGAGGACATACATCATATTGAAGCAAGGTGGTGAAAACGAGGCTCCAGGGATACTGTGTGATAAGAATGTGTCACCAAAGCTTAAAGATAGGTCTAGATATAGAGTGATGATTAATTAAGACCTACATTATGCACTCATACAAAAGATAAAAGGAAGCAGATATGAGGATACTCATTTTGATGTGTTGGACATACTAGGAGACAAGGCGGTATTGACATTTGTGGTGGACAAGATAATGGAAGCGAGATTGAGCTAGTCCAGATATATGACGAAGAGGTTTGTGCGGTATTGACATTTTTAGTGGACAAGATGATGCAGGAAGCGAGATTGAGATAATCCAGATATATGATGAAGAGGTGTGTGAATACACAATAAGTAAGACGATGTGAGAGACTGGCTATAGAAGATTTTAGAAGAGACAGTGGTAGGTCAAAGAATAACTAGTCTTGTCACCCTGCCCGCTTGGGGTCTGAGTAAGGAAAGAGCTCGTAACCACGTTATTGGACTTGTCTTATTGATAACCTTGAGACCGGGAAAGACTGACAAAATATGACACATCTTCAACTTTCTCGTCATAACACTAGATAGAAGTATAAAAGGAATAGTACTTTTATCTATGTAGGAGAGGCAGGGGTCAATCTCCTCTTCATATTTATTGCATGAAATATATATAATGTCTAGTGAGTTTCAAGTACTAAAGACTTCCCACAATGGTTCTAAAGATAACATCACCATAAATGAGATTTAGCCAAAAAATCTAAATAAAACACTAAATAAATAGAGGTAAAGTGAGTTGATTTAATTGAATCTACATTTGTGATTATTCTGAGTTGACACAAGGCAATGTGAATTCATCAAAAATCACGTCTTGTGACATACATTCTTTTGTATATGTATGTATATATATATGTATGTATATTCTATAGCATTGATGTTAAATTACTTGAGAAGGTAAAATCACGTCTTGTGACATACATTCTTTTGTATATGTATGTATGTATATATATATATGTATGTATATTCTATAGCATTGATGTTAAATTATTTGAGAAGGTGACCTTTTATTTCTTTTGTCACATGAAGAACATAAGCTAGGAGAACGAGAGGCTCCGGTATACCTTCAATTTTTTTCTCGTACATAAATGTCCATTCATGGTCACGTGATGTTATAATAATGAAGAAATTGTACAACTATATATAATAGATCTCCATCAAGATTGTTTATGTTTCAGGACCGAAGGCTTCAATCACTTGCTTTGAAGTCTTATCTTTGCCATCTAAATACAATCAATAAAGTCGAAAACATGAGAGATAATAATAGGGCAATGAGTTCGAAAATGATTCATATGTAGAGAGGAAAATATGTGTATATATTACCGTCATTATATGTCCAGTTAACAATTGAACCCTAATCTTCATGAATTTCAAAAATTTGTGACCTTGCTAGGGCTTATGTTGGATATATGATCGAGTTTTGGCGTGAAAAATCTCATGAATCGAGTGTCCTTCACACTTCACCTCTACTGAAGCAAATATCTTGCCTTTTACACCCATATTTCTTATATAGATTTCAATTAGGTGCACCAAAAGTTACTACATAAAACATGATCCACGACATATCATGAAAGTTTAGCTTTAGGTTGTTAGCCCATTAGTGAGAAAATAACTTTTTAAAATTTTATTTTTTATAGTAGGTTTAAAAGAGTCTCTTAAGCATTATTTGGGCAATTTTGATGTTTTAAATTTGTCAAAAGTGAGAATTATTGTCTTCTTCAAATATTTATTAAGCTTTAATTATTACCACATTTATATATTTTCACAGTGGTAGTAACAAAGTTAGAAACTATATTGTCAGACTTAGAGTCTTACTAATATTTTTTTCCCTCTTTACATTCATATTTTATTTTAATGAAAAAGTGGCAGGTCATGACGATAATCTAAAAATACTGACATCAAGGTTGTGACTCTCTCTAAACTCTCATACGAATAGTGAAAAACGAACTAAGAAAAAGGATAGAAACGAAAAATCTCTATTTTCTCCAATTAATTGAAATAGAAGCGATAGAAATTCAAGTGAAATTTAAGATTTAAAATTTATGTTAGTACCTGCCTTAAAACTAGAGAAACCTAAAAAGGAGTTTACTACAAAAGAATGAGAATATAATTAAAGTACACTATTAAATATATCATTTTTGTTATTGGTAAATTTTGATAATATTTTGCATATATTGAACATTAAAAATACATCTCTAGAACGAGAAGAACATACATAATATATTCTTCAAACACCATAATTATTTATTTCACACACTAGCTAGCTAGACAGAACTAGCTAGTCAATATCACACACACACACATACATATTTGTGTGTACAATATATATATATATATATATTGCATATGTATAAATAGGGCTATGAGCCATTGAGTAGCATTGATGTTTTATTACTTGAGAAGGTGACCTTCGATATCTTTTGTAACGTGAAGGACAAAACCCAAGAGAACGAGAGGCTCTGGTATGTCTTCAGTTTTCTTCTCATACAGAAATGTCCATGTAGTCCATTCGTGGTCACATGATGTGATAATAGTGAAGGAATTGTACAACTCTAACAGATCTCCACCAATCAATTTCCAAGTGATTGTTTTGGTTTCATGATCGATGGCTTCAATCATTTGCTTTGAAATCTTATCCTTTCCATCTATAATCAATATATGAAATCGAAAATATAAGAGACGATAATGAGCTACTTCAAGTTGAACATTCACAATTACATATTTTTAGCTCATTTTATAGGTTTCTCTTTGTTTTCATTTTCTCCAATGAAATCTCTAAAATGTTTGTATCTCATAATATTTGATTGATGATGAGAAAATATTTTATGAAAAGTATAAGTTAAAGTTAAATCATTTTTTAGAAAATTGGAGGGCGTTACGATAAATATTTTTATTACTAAACCTTAATAATGTCAAAATAGTTGGAGCAAACAAAAATAGATCATTAATGATTTTAAATTTTATTGGTTCAAACATTTATAGTTATACAACTGATTTGTCTTTTAGTAATTATTTTTTTTGATTTTGCACATATCTAACCTCTTAAACATATTTATTTCTATATATATAAAAAATAAATAAAATAACACACCAAATAAATGTAAATATATATATATATATTTATTCATAAGTAGAGAGAGGAATAATGTGAACATATTACCATCGTTATATTTCCAGCTAACGACTGAACCAACTTTTACGGAATCACCTTCATGAATCTCGAAATTTTGGATTTTGCTAGGGCATATATTGGATATATGATGAGTCTTGGTATGAAATATATCGTGAACCAAGTGTCCTCCACACTTTACTTCTACTGAAGCGATCAACTTGCCTTTCACACCCATACTTTTTTTTTAAAATATATAACAAAAGATTTTGAAAAGAAAGTGGTGATAAAATGACTAGAAGTTGTAGTCTTTATATAGATTTCAATTAGCTACACCAAAAGTTATTATGAATATTACAGAACATGATCCACGACATATCATGGAAATTTGGTGTTAGATTGCTAACCCATTGAGGAGAAAATGACAAAAAAAAAAGATTTTATTTTGAAAAATTTATCCGAATTTCACTAGTTTAGGAGTAATAATTTAGATACACTAAGTTTGTAATATCACGAATCTTATCAGATTTTGATAAGTCCAAATATAACTATCGTCGGATGCATTGGGTTAAAATTAGATGTAAATTGTGCTAGATACACTGTATCCAATTTGATTTGTACGTATCTGAGATACAAAACAAATCTCGTTTGTCTCTCTCTCTCATCTCGCTGAACACTTTCCTATGTATCTGGTATCCCACATACATGCGAATCACATCAGATATATACAAATACATATATATCTACTGTGATTTTCATGTATATGGAATATATACATGACTATCTCTCTTGCCAACCTCCCCATGTCGCTTGACTCTCTTCCTATTTTAGTGTATTCGATAGCAAAATGCATGCATCTAGGTGTACCTTCCTCAATATATGATACTTGGTAGAAAACTCTTAATGAATGGTTAAATTAAGGGTGGGCGTTCGGTATTCGATTCGGTAATTCGATAACTGGTGGTTTAAAGTAGATTCCAAATATCAAAATTTTAAATTTCGATTTGGTAATTTGGTAATCAGTAAATTAAATTCCAATTTGGTATTCGATGCAAATAGTCCATTGTATTACAAAGTCAATATTATTTTTTCCAATTAACTAGACCTAGCATTGTATATGATTCGCCTATAAAGTCTGATAGGTGTCATCACGACTCAAAATTATTCAATCGTGACAGAACAAGTATATTTATCGATCATTATATTTTTACCTAACAATTGAATCAATATTTATAATTTCCCCTAAACCTCAAAATGTTGAATCATAGTAGGGCTTATGTTAGATATATATATCATATATGTCATGAATATTAGTATAAAAAACATCATGAACTAAATATCCCCAATCATGAATATTAGTGAGAAAAATATCATAAATTATATTATTTATAAAACATGATCCACGAGTATCACGATATATCATGGAAGATATAATTAGATCTTGTCAAATTAATAGGGTCCTTTACAATGAAACTTCAACCACCCAACTATTATTGTTTTTTAATGCATAAAATAAGGTTTTTACAACTCACAGGGAATTCATATTATGTAAAACTGAAATAGTGAAATCTTTCAAAGGATAAAAATTCTAACAAAAAATAAAAGAAAAAGGACATAAGTAGTCTAAATCCACTATTTTAAAAAAAAAAGTGATTTGTTATAATTGTTCTGAATATTCGATTTCTCTTAAATTTAAATCAAATTCTTTCGGTGAAAATAGATTTTCTGTATCATTATAGTATTTGAAACTTACTAACTCGATGCATTTGATGGAGGGCAAACTGATAAGGAGGACGAGTCAAACAAAATTCTAAGGTTATTAGATTGTCAAACTTTTGATACTGAAGTATGTTGAACACCTAATTAAGCGAATCGCACATCAAAATGCGAGCAAAAAATAAAAAAACTTTATAAACTCAAATTATAAGTTTACGTAATATACACATTTTCGGAGCTCGACATAGCATAACCAAAAAAATATATTCGTATAAGACCTAGATCCAAAATTGATAATGCATGACAATGACACCATTTTGCCTACAATTATTAGAGGTGTTGTAGTATATATTCATGCACATTACATATATATATATATTTACATAGCTTTGCTCAATATATATATATATATATATATATATATATATATATAGTAGTAG